TTGTGTTAGGGTGATGCACATGCTAGGTGACGGGCATGTGGGCATGCACCGTTGCTATCAAGTCTTGTGTCATCCCTGTAATTACTACTTGTTAGAGTAATTGAGCTATGATTCATGTTAGATATAATGTTTAGGCTACGTTCTTATTCGGTTGAGACCTAATGAGGCTATTTTAGTTGTTTTGAGCTATTTGCTTTAACTGTAATTTTACACTCATTAATGGTTCTTCATTTCCACATCATATCTCAGTGTCTGTTCATTGTTACATCGCATGTTATCATTGTTGGGCTGAGTTGTATGAGACTGTGAGCCCTTGAGTTAAGATATTGAGGACTGAGGTGGGCCTTAGAGCCGTGTCGAGAGTGTTATTGAGAATCGGGCTGCACGCCGCAGCAGGCAATATTAGCTTTACTATTAATATTATTTTGTGGATCGGGGTGCACGCCGCATCAGGCCTTATAGGCTTTTTATTAGCGCTTGGGAAGGATCCGACCCTCAGGAGTCTGATATACCAACACCGAGCACATGCATAGTGATATATACACATGCTTTGGCAAGGGGTATTAATGCCATGCACCCGTACAGTGCTTAGTGATTGTGTGTGTATGATGAGTGGGCATTTGAGACAGACAGTTTGAGTATACTGAGAGTGATAGTACTTGGGGATATCACCGTAAAATCATTCATTTGACATGCATACTTGACATGTAGGAATAGACATGTACCATTCCTCATGCTAGTTGTAATTGACATGTTCCTATCAGTGTTGGGCTTTAATTGTTGAACTTGAAAGTATGTCTAAATTTCTATAATATGAACGAGCCGATTTTGGTAATTTCGTTGACTTATTTATTGTTATTATGATCATTATATTTGTGTTATCATTATATTGGATTCTAACTATCTTTTTCTGAGTTCGTCACTGCTTTCAGCCCATGGTTAGTTTTGTTACTTATTGAGTACATGGGGTCGGTTGTACTCATACTACACTCTGCACTTCGTGTGTAGATCCAGGTGCATCCGCACGTGATGATTGCAAGATCTGTGCTAATACCGTGCTATAGTGACAAAATAATAGAACATAACAAAAAATGAAATTATCGAATTCATTTCCACTTCCGCGATTTATTCTTTTTGCCAATAATCTCATCGTCACTTTTTGCGTTCAGTTGAACCTTGTTTCTATCATAATCCCACAAGAGAGCACTAAACTTGTGCCGCTGTGAGGTCCGGCACAACTTAATCTACTTGCATACCATTAGTATGCAAGTAGAGTAAGTTGCCTTCAATAGTTTCACCAAAATTATGAATATTAGTCTCACCATATTAGTCATTAACATGAAAGATGACGCAATTTTTTAATATTAACAAGCTCAAATAGGTCAACAATTTCCACTAGCTATATGCTTTTATCTTTTATCTTTTACTTTTGCCCACTAACTAAAGCTTATGTAACCTTTTGTCTTTTTGCTACAGCTTTTACTTTGCATTGTACTCCTATGAACTCTGTGGCCTTGCATTCTTTAGCTTTTATGGATTATGGAAGGGGACACTTGGCTTTCTGCCTTATCTAGTTTGCAGTACTGACATCCTCCATGTGCCAGAAAGGCTTCAGAAATGGTGGCCGATTCTAAATAGCCGTTACAAAGAAACAATTACATCTTCCACTTTAATCCAAATAGGTAGAACTAATTATTTATAATATTAAAACATAACTTGTTATAACAAATTAAATTATATTGATAAAATAGTTACATTGCCTATATGAGTGATCAAATACTCTTTGGCCATTGCTTCTTATTTTCTCTAACTTAATCTCTGTACTTAAGATGAATCTCTACCTACTTATGTACCTCTTAGGCAGCGCCAAATACAAAGAGAAAAAAGATTCTGTATCTAAGAACTGAGAATCTTGACCACCGTCCTAACTCCTAATTTCGGTTGAAGCAATACTATACAAGTACCTCAAAACGAGACTACTAATAAAAAGAAAAAGTAAAATTACAATTTTCTAAAAGCTACTTAATTAATCTTCCCCTTAGCCGATGCATTGGACCTTTTTTTTATTTTTTTGCATTTATACTTTTCTTCATCCTATTAAAGGAAAGTTTTCTTCAAGTCGTGAACCAAAGGAGCTCAATCATCTCTTCTGTAGTATATTCCCTCAAGGAAAACATAGATGTCTCTTTTTGAGGAAACATCACTTACATAACTATTGTACAAATTCTGGTTTCGCTCACGGTAACATCAGCTCATAACACGCGAAGCCAAAGAGAATAATATATTCAGTTGTTTTTTATACAGAATAAGACAAAAGAAAAGTAGGTAGTAAAAGCCAACACTAAAACTTTCATATTACTCCCCGTTTCAATTTATATGAACTTATTTTTTTTAGTCTGTGCTAAAAAGAATGGTTAATTTTTCTATTTGAAAATAATTTATCTTTATTCAATGATTTATAACTATACAAAATATATGTAATTTATTTTAAACCACAAATTCAAAAATTTTCTTTCTTTTTTAAATTTCTTACCCAATCAAACTGGTTCATCTAAATTAAAATTGAAATGGAGAGACTATTATTATTACTTTGTGCAGCTTTCAGCTCTCTCGATAAAACACAATCTTGATGTCTGTATCCAACTATCTGACACATGCAACTTTATGTGTTTGGCATGCCACAACATGAGCTACCTCCCTTTTAAGTGTTCCTGTTCCAATATGTCAGGCTTAAATGGATGAATGTCAGAATGTGTGAAGAGAGTTTTGTAATATGAAAGTAGCTATTAATCAAAGAGATATACTCCCTTTTATTTCATTTTAAGTGAACATGTTTGATTAAGTACGAAAGTTTAAAAAGAAATAAAGATTTTTAATAAATTTATGATCATAAATATGTCATAATATTTGTATGTGTATATGCCTTTTGAAACTCGTAATCTTAAAGTGAAATATTATTTGGGTGACTATAAAATTAGTTATTATGAGTAGCACGAAGTGAAAGTCTCTTCTAATTTTAAAAGAGATTATTTTAAACACCGAAGACTATTTGTTTTGAAAAGGTTCAACTATTTGAAATAAGAACGTCGTGGGCATTTCCAAATGAATGAGAAAATAAAATCATATGAAAATCACAACATTCACTTTTTGATGACTCTTGTTAGCTATTCCTAGAGTCAGGTAATTAATCTTTTGAGAGTGTATTTTACATGCCTCAACCTCAAGCATTTTTCCGTGTTCAAGTATTTTTCATTTTCCTTCTTTTACCGTCAATTGTTTTTATTTTTTTAATAGATTGAAGAAGCATGTCCCATCAAATAATTCCTCCATTCGAGTTTATGTGAATGATGTTGGGCATATTTCGATATGTATTGATGTTACTTTATTTATGTTTTAATCGTTTTTTGATGCTATTTGATCTTTAAAATGCCCAACATGGTTTAATTATTGATTTTATGACTAATTGAGTTGTGTGTGATGATTTAAGGTGTTTGGAGTGCAAAAATATGAAGAAAAGGTGCTCTAGCTAGAGGAAGAGGGGTTGGATGCGTCGCATCCAATCTAGAAAAAAATCAGATTTCGTGCACCCTTAGCAGTGAAGTCGGCCCATAGCATCCGCCTTAGCATCCGCACCTGGGCAAAGCTGAGATGGAGGAACAAAGGGTGGATGCGAAGCATCAACCCTAGCATGCGAAGCTGAGAAGTGGAGGACGAGGTGGATGCGACGCATCCACCCCAGCATCAATCCCTGAAGCTGAGTCGGATTAGGAATAGGAGAACTTTGGCCCACGACTTTTGTACGCAATATATAAGCCAAAAATGCCTCTTTTAGGTCATCTAACATATTGGGAAGGGGGAAAAAGCCACGACAAAGCTGGGGAACCACGGAATTCATCTTGAGTTCTTATTTTTCCTTCTTTTATTGATTCTTATGCACTCTTGTGAATTATTTGATGATTGCATGAACATGAGTGGCTAAGAACCCTATTATTCTAGGGTCATGGGCGATACATGAATGTTGATGTTTGAAGTTTAATTTGACAAAGTTGATTTTATCATATTGGGTTGTTTATTTAATTCAGTTTTTAATTAATTTGCTGAGTAGCTAACACTGAATTACTATCTACGAATCTAGAGTTGAACTCGAAAGTGAGAATTCTAGATTGCATATAGAATTAAATATAGCAAGTTCTTGAACCCGGACATCGGAGAACGGATTCGCAATTAGAATAGAAATATACCTAACTGTCTTGCTCGGTTGAAATACAGGAAGTGTAAATGCATTCTTGTTAATCTTAATTCCATAGACATATAGGCATTAAGTTAGCTTGAATAGGCGAGTAAGAACTCGACAGATTCTTATGAGTAATATCAATCATGTCAATCAACAATCCAGATAAATCAATTAGTTATTTTAAGCTAAGAATGCAACATGATTGTTAGATAACCCGTGACCCTGAATATTATCTCCTATTGATTGTTATTTGAAATCATTTATGTGTTGTGGTTGATCTTTAGTATTTCACTACTTGATAGTTTTTAGGTAGTAAATTAAAAAATTAGCTATTTTGTGAGAAATCGCTTGGATCGATAAGTTATTTGAGTTTGAGTTAGTCAAAAGTTAATCATAAGTTTTCGTGGGAACGATACTCTACTCACTACTATATTACTTGACGATCACGTATACTTGCGTGAGTGTGTTTGGTCGCAACAGTGAACATATTTTTTTTTGGTCCGTTCCAAAAAGAATGACCCCTTTATAAATTTGGAAACAATTTTGCTTAACCGTATAATTCTACCCTTAATGAGAAGCTTTTATAACCACACAAATACTCTGGCTCCTTTTTGACTTGTTTAGGACCACAAATTCTAAAAGTTTTTATTTTTTCTTAAACTCCGTGATCGGTCAAACATGTTCACATAAATTGAAACGGAGGAAGTAGCAAGTAGATAAATAGCTTCCATAAAGAAGTTTAAGCCACACAAGGGACAGAGAGCCAATTAGTTAGTAGCAATTATAACACAAGGTGAAACTCTCCTAATTAACAAAACGTTTCATGGGGAAGAGTAGTGGAGGGAGTTCGTGGTTAGGCTTAATGAAGAAGGCTTTTAGATCCCCTGTCAAAGATAATGATATGAGAAGCAGTAGAAGAAGAGAAGAGGCTGAGCAAGAGGAAGAAGAAGAAAAGGTAACAAGTTTAGATTAACAGTTTCATAAGCACGTACGGCACTTTTCCATGTTACTATGTGAAGCATGCAATAAGATGGGGAGACGAATTTAAAACATGTTTTTCGAGTTCAATTAAACTCATCGCCTTATGCTAGAATTATATCATAAGATTATATAGTTATTTTGAACTTATTTACTAATTTTTTGTTTGCAGAAGAGGGGAAAACGGCGATGGATCTTCCGACCGAAGCCTACGCTTCATGAAACAACAATTCATCAAAATCAAGAAGAAAACACTGCCAATACCTCTTCGACCAACACTGCCAACACCTCTTCGAGCATAAGTACAGGAAATTCATTGCCAGAGAATGCTGATTTGAAGCAAAGACGAGCAATTGCAATAGCCGTGGCTACTACAGCGGCTGCTGAGGCAGCAGCACAAGCGGCTGTGGACATAATTCGGCTCACAAGACCAACACTTTTAGTTAGAGAACAGCGTGCCATTCTTAACATTCAGACAGCATTCAGAGGGTACTTGGTATGTATAAAACTCTCTATACATATGGACTCTTTCTGAACATTATCGGTGTACTTTTTTAAGTAATTACTTCCCTTACTTATAGTTATTATTTGATTAAGTTATATGGACTAATAGTGTAAAATTATTTACTAATCAGTGAATTTAGCCTGTGGTAGCTGGCTATATTACGAATTACTTTGCAAGTGTCCTGATTATATAAATGGCTACTGTGGCTTTTAGGCAAGGAAAGCACTTCGAGCTCTCAAGGGATTGGTAAAGTTGCAAGCTTTAATAAGAGGACACAATGTCCGAAAGCGAGCAAAAATGACTCTCCAGTGCATACAATCTCTTGTTCGAGTGCAAACTCAGGTGTGTGATCAACGTAGAAGGTTATCCTGTGAAGGAATTAGTTGTGGTTCCACTTTCAGAGAGGCAAAAAGCATTCTGGAGCTTCATCTCAGTGACACTGTGAGTGTCTTAAGTTTGTTTCTACATTTTCTATATATAAATAAATTAGTATATAGTCCCTTCTGGTACATGAGATAAAACTGAAACGACACAAGGAGTATATTAATTTTGTATATGGGAATGCAGTCTAAAAATCAAGTTAGCACTGTGGACGACAGATACGATCATTCACATGCTATAGAGAAAGTTGAAGCTTTGTTGCAGAAAGAAAAGGAAGCTGCTAAACAGCGCGAAAATACTCTGGCTTTTGCCTTCTCTCAGAAGGTATTAATCTTTTCTACTGATCGTCTTTTCTATGTAATCCAACTTCTCATCTTTCCTCCAATACTAACAGTTTGAAAACTAACAGATGTGGACAGCGAATAAAGATGAAGACACAAGTAGCAACAAAGAGCTTGACGAGGATATGAGAGTTTTCCACAAGACAGACGTGAGAAATTGCAGAACTCTCAGCAGAGCTTCATGTGATCAGCCAAGGGACCGCATGAAGAATATTGAAGTTGACACAACTTGCTCTTATTCTGACTCAGATTCTGATTTTTGGAGATTGCAAAATCAGTTTTATCAGGACCAACAACAGAAGTTGTGTTCATATGCGGTCCCCGCTCCTCTCCGTAGAGTACAACAAAATTTACCGATACATTCATCCATCACACCAACATCTAAGATGAAAAATATCCAAGTTCATTCAGCGAGCCCCCGCTGCAGAAGGGAAGAGAGGAGCCACCGGATGACTCTTTTCTCCCATAGAGCGAATGAGCCAAATTACATGGCAGCTACTGCATCAGCCAAGGCCAGAGAACGGTCACAGAGTGCTCCAAGGCGGATGCCTTTAACTCCAGAGAGAGAAAAAACTAGTGCAGCAAAAAAACGCCTATCTTTCCCTGTTCAGGGAACATCAAATGAGATTGTTAATAGTGACCAACCTTTAGATCATAGATTTGTGAGCGCCCTAGATGGAAGAGTGTACCTATAGAACCATTTGGCATCGATCATTAGTCCAATAGGCATTCTAACTGCAGGCACCCTCCATTATGAGAATTCCCATCTTCTCTAAATCTTTTCATTTTCAAAATAACGGTGGTGTCCGGCTTGTTTGCCCGCGCCTCCACTATTACATGTAACTATCACTACCTAATCTAGTGTATAATGTTTTAAGAATTTCCATCTTCTACTTGTCATGTAAAAAGATGGTCAACATAAGTTATGGAACTGAATGATAGGTAAATTAGATTAACCTGCTTCTAAACACAAGGATTGGAGACTTTTGTACACATATATCTATGCCCTAAATGATCTAAATCGATTACTGATATTACTAGTGGATCTGTTGTTGTCTATTCGCTCATTGCTATTTTTTTCTCTACTTCAATTTGATATATTGATGCAATAGTTCCTTGGCGAAATGGCTTGTTGGTCACTTCAACCTGTCTATTTTTTATAAGACTGTATGGAATAAGATTGATCGATAACAGGTGGTCGAATGATAAATAATACGTGGAATCAAAAACAGGCAAAAGATGAGTCAAAAGATAACTAGCACCCGATGCGAAGTATGTAACCGGTGCAGGATGGACCGCGAAGGAAGCGTAGCCAATAATAGAGATTCAAAGGTTTGACATCGGATAACACTTAATGAACAGTCGTTATAGAGAATATGTGCATTCAAAGCCAGCCGTTATGCACCCATCAATTACGCTTTTATTCTCATTCAAGAGGAGCTTGATTTGGGGATCTTGTCTCCCTCAATAGAACTATAAATAGGATGATTAACAACCATTGTAGGACATGAAACATTCGGCACACAAAGATGTACTTTACTATTTTACGCTCAATCTAATAGCTTTATCATTACTTTATAAGTGCTTTCACTTCTGCTTTCGAAAATACCAAGTTTGGAGTCAGGTTTGTTATTTCCTCTAATTTAAGCCATCAATCTTATTTTTATTGTCATTTCTTTATTATTTTTAGATCAAATCGATTCGCTTGTCTATAAAACTCGCTATAAATTCAATTACTGTACCGTTTTACGGGTAAACAACTTGGCCCCTACCGTGGAGCATAGACAGTTGCATAATTGCTTTGATCCATTCGTTAGTTACTAACAAAGTTTTGATTCTTTCCTTTGTAAAAATTAACTATGGCAACTAATGATGTCAAGAACGCACACAATGTTGCAGCACACGGTGAATGGGAAGAAGTATCCCAATGTGATGATTCCATCAGCGAGACCCTCAACGAAGGGGATGAAACAACCCCTGTTCGTGAAAGAAAAATCCTCGGCATGTGCGGGGCCCAATCCCTGATGATGCGACATATAACATCACTCCAAGAGATGAGGTCGGTTTCGACAGAGCCGAAGGTACCGGTAGCGGATATGGGAATAATAATTTGAGTGATCTTGTTAAAACCGAGCTTGGGAGATTCATGTGAGAGATGAATGAACGAATGAATCAGAATGCGAAGGAGTTTCATGCTCGGATGGATCAGATTCCCAGTGCACCGCCGGTATTAAAGGGTCCAGAATCCAAAAAATACACGCAGTTGTCGTTTAAGCCAAGTGCGGCACTAGAGTTAATTCCAAAGATATTTATGATGCCGGACATACCAAAGTATGATGGGACTTTTGATCCGCAGGAGCACATCACAACCTATACTATGACAGTGAAAGGAAACGATTTGGCTCAACATGAGATTGAGTCGGTTCTGTTGAGGAAGGTCGGCAAAACCCTCACGAAAGGGGCCCTAGCATGGTACTCCCTCTTACCTGAGCATTCAATTAATTCTTTTGAGATGCTTCCAGATTCGTTCATTAAGGCCCACGCTGGAGCAAGAAAGGTTCAGGAAAGAAAGGCGGACATATTTAGAATTTTGCAAGGAGAATCCGACCTGTTGCGGGAATTCATAATCCGGTTCTAGAAAGAAAAGATGTTGCTACCGGCGGCCCGAGACCCCACGTACCCCTGATTATCAGATTACAACTTTAACATTAGCCTGGTAGAATTGGTGTTGGCAATGAGAAATATTTAAGAAGCACGGTTTCCAAAACCAATCCGATCGGATCCTAGCCAGAGGGATCCCAGTATATGGTGTGAATTCCATGGGACTCACGACCATAGAACTGGGGACTATCGACATCTTCGCGAGGAGGTGGCGACGCTGTTAAAGAATGGCCATCTTAGAGAGTTTTTATGTGACCGAGCCAAAATCAATTATGGTCAGAGCCGGGACAATGCGGAGCCCTCAAAGACAGCAGCAGGGTCACCAGGGATGATAATCAGCATGATCTTCGGAGGGAGCGAGGTCAATAGTGTTACATTTTTGGCAGCAAAAATGACAAAAATATCAGTGACTCATAGCAAGAGGGTTCGGGAAATCTCGGGAAATGATATCACCTTCACGGATCCTCGGAAGGCTATGGATACACGAGATGAAGGCTTTGACCTCCACCTATCATCAATTGCTGAAATTTCTGATGCCAGAAGGGATCAAGCAGATAAGAGGGGACCAATCGGTGGCAACGGAGATGAATGAAGTGACCGTTTCCAGCAGCAATGGAAAAGAATCCAACAAATAGTAATTACAAGAACCAATGCCTTCTTCCTTTCCGAATGAAGATGATAAAGGCGAGGAGTCATCGAAATCCTACTAGGTTCTGAGGTCTTTTCAGGTACCAGAGGAGATGAATGTGACCAAGTCGACAATGGAAGAGCTCGAGCAAGTGTATTTGTTCGAGGAGTTTTTGGAAAGAAAGTTTCATTTGGGAACAAGGTTAAATCTCGAGCTCAGGTTAGAGTTTATGAATTTTCTTAAAGCTAACATTGACTTCTTTGCGTGGTCACACTCAGATATGACAGGTATCCATTGGAGATAGCGGTCCACAAGTTAAGTCTAGATCCAAACTTCCCACTGGTAAGGCAAACGAAACGCCTGATAGTAGAGGTCAGGAACAAGTTTGTTAAGGAAGAGATAACCCGACTATTTAACATCGGTTCAATTCGAGAGGTAAAGTAGCCATAATAGTTAGCCAACGTAGCCGTATTACCTAAAAAGAATAAAAAATTTAGGATGTGTGTGGACTATAAGGATTTAAATAAGGCGTGCCCCAAAGACTCATTCTCGTTTCCGAACATTGATCAAATGATTGATGCTACGGCAGGGCACGAGCTAATGAGTTTACTCGATGCTTACTCTAGGTACAATCAGATCAAGATGAACCCAGAGGATCATGAAAAAACTTCCTTCATAACAAACTTTGGCACATATTGCTATAATGTGATGCCTTTTGGGCTTAAGAACGCCAGAGCCACTTATTAGAGGCTCGTTAATAAGATGTTTGATAAACATATAGGCAAAACGATGGAAGTGTATATTGACGATATGTTAGTTAAATATTTAAATGCAGGAGATAATCTGAAACATCTCGAAGATACTTTCGACATCTTGCGGAACCATAACATGAAACTCGACCTGGAGAAATGTGCCTTCAGGATTAGTTTCGGTAAATTATTGGGGTTCCTGGTCTCGCAAAGAGCGATTGAGGTAAATCCTGACAAAATCAAAGCCATCGAGGACATCCCGGACCAGTTTACAAGTGTGAAGGAAGTACAGAGGCTGACTGGCAGGTTGGCGGCTCTCAGCAGATTCATCTTAAGATCCTCGGAAAAATGCCACCACTTCTTTTCACTTCTGAAAAAGTGGAACGACTTTGTATTGACTCTGGAATGCCAACAGGATTTGAATGACCCTAAAAAGGTACATGTCTAGCCCTCAGTTATTGTCAAAATGGGAGGAAGGCAGCAACTGCTAATTTATCAAGCAGTCTCGAAGGTAGCGAAAAATGTCGTTTTGGTTCAAGAAGAAGAAGGTATGCAATTTCCTATTTATTACATTAGTAAAGTTTTATTAGGAGCGGAGACTAGTTATCCGCACCTCGAAAAGCTGGCCTTAGCTCTCGTAGTTGCTTCTCAAAAGCTTAGGCCTTACTTTCAATGCTACCCAATATCCGTTGTGACAACCTTTCCCTTAAGGAATGTCCTTTATAAGCCCGAGTTGTCAGGCCATTTGGCTAAATGGACAGTCAAGGTTAGCAAATTCGACATTGAGTACAAGCCCAGGATTGCAATCAAGTCACAAGTTTTTGCCGACTTCATGGCCGACTTCAGTCTGGGATTAATGCCTTTGGCCGCAAAGGAAGCAGTGCTGGTATCGGGAACAACATCGGGAGTTTGGACCTTGTTTACGGATGGAGCCTCCAACGTAAAAGGGTCTGATCTCGGGGTAGTTTTAATCATGCCCTCGGGAGAGATCCTAAGACATGCCATCAGAACTGTACCATTAACAAACAATGAAGACGAGTATGAGGCTTTGGTTATAGGACTTGAACTAGATCGTGGACTAGGTTCTGAGGTAAAATGTGACTCCCAGCTGGTGGTCAACCTAGTATATGAGATTTTTGAGGCAAAGGACGAGCATATGCAATAGTACTTGAATAAGCTTCAAGCATTACTTGCACAATTCAGAGAATGGTCAATCGTCCACATTCCGACGAAAAAAAATGTGGAAGCAGATGCATTGGCTAATTTAGGGTCGTCCACAGAGATGAAAGGATCAGATTCTGGTACGGTTGTCCAATTGCTGCATTTGGTGTTAGATGTTGACGGTTATTGTGAAGTAAATTCAACAAACTTAATTTGGGACTGGAGGAACGAGTTCATTGAATATCTCAGACATAGTAAATTACCCGAAGAACCAAAGGCGTATCGGGCGCTGTGTACCAAAGTAGCTCGCTACTGCCTCGTTTATAGGCAGTTATATAGGAGATCATTCTAAGGACCGCTCGCTTGATGTCTAAAGGCATCAGAGGCGGACTATGTGATGAGATAAGTCCTAAGTTCACGAAGTAGCCTACAGAAACCATTCCGATGCAGACTCGTTAGTTCTCACGTTGGTCAGGGCTAGACATTATTGGCCCTGAATGGAACAGGACGCAAAGGCATTCGTACAAAAGTGCAACAAATGTCAGCGTCATGCATAGTTGGTGCATCAACCAGCGGTACTTTGCATTCGGTAGTGTCGCCATGGCGATTCATGAAATGGGGAATGGACATAGTTGGTCCTTTACCACCAGGACCCGGGAAGGTGAGATTCCTTTTAGTTTTAACTAATTACTTCACTAAATTGGTTGAAGCAGGTCCTTACCAAAAGATCGGAGGGCGCTAAGTGGTCGACTCATAAGGGACCACATAATATGCCGATTCAGAACATCGAAGGAGATTACTTGTGACAATGGGCCGTAGTT